AGAAAAATAATGAAAACGGAGCTGGGGTAGGGCAGAAAGCAAGTATAGCTGAGATGGGGGAGGGGAAAAGAAGGAGAGCAGAAATTGGAGGGAGCTGAGAGTGTAGGAGCCCCCAAGTCTGAAGAACGTAAAAGAGATATGAGTCCTCCAACTGCTGGAGAAAAGCTAAGGGCTCATGAGGGTCCTGAAACAGGGACCAGCACTGAAGGACCCCAGGGTTTGGGTGACCGGAAGCTGAGACCCCCAAACACGAGACCAGAAGGGGGCGCAGGAGACACCCCGTAGGAGAGAATGAATGGGGAAGGCGGTCCAGGGGGCGGGGCAAAGGAGGGGCCCCGGGATGGGCGGGGCACAGACCCCTTTCCAATTCCGAACCCCTGCCCCGAGAGCCCGGAGAGAAGCGGCTCCGCGCCTCCCGCACTCACCGCCGGTCTCGTCAGTAACATAGGGAGTCGCCATCTTGAAAACGCAAACCACTTCCGGCGTGAGCGGGCTGGGGTCCCGCCCCCCTCCCCACCGGAAGTGGAGTCCCAATCGTAGCAAGCCACCATCTTAGCCTTAAAGGGAGAGTGCACCATTTCATGGGCGGAGGTGGAGGAGGAGGAGGAGGAAGAAGAGGGGAGAAGCTGAAATAGTTAATAAAATAAAGCCGTGGACTCTTTTACTGCCACCTATACCATTATTGAGCGCTTGCTGCGTATAAAACAGTCCTCCGGGAGCCAAGAGAAGTTCCGAGGCACAGCCACTCTCATCCCAGGAACTCCTCGTACGTCCAGGATCTGTGAGGGAAAAAGGCGCAAGGCCCACCTGCCCCCAGAAAGAGGGGCTTATAAATGAAGAAAGGAAGAATATCCAGGCTGTTCTTCCTGCACCCAGATTTCAGAGCGGCTTGACGTGGGGCAGGCAAACTCCAAGAACGCACTGGGGCGCACGAATATTTCTGGGGACTGTTGGAAGACCCTATCTAACCCTCTCTAAGAAGGTGGGGAGGTCGAATTCGCGTGCCGATTGCTATCGGTCGCCCCATTGAACCTCCAGAGACCCGCGGGAGGAGCGTGCAAGGCGGAGGGCGCCGCTGGTCGGTCACCTGTTTCCGTAGCCACAGGGTTGCCGGCAGCTTCCATGGCCGAAGAGGCAGCAGGCCAGGTTGGGCGGGCGGCCCTGGCCTGGCTCTGCCCCGCTGGGCGGCGCCGAGGATTCGGCGGCGAAGTGACGAGGGCCGTAGTTGCTTCTCGCCTTGACCTCCTAACCCTGAGTGCCTCCTTGGGCTGGGCCCTAGGGTCGGAGGGCAGGATGAAGGCTTCTGGGCGGACCTACTTAGTATTCTAATTAACCTCGTCCTACCGGGGGGGAGCTAAAGCGGGGCAACTCGCCAATAATCCGGTCCTGTAGAGTCACTCCATTTGTGATCCTGCCCTACCCCGTGCCTCCCTATTCTTCCGACGAACCCAAATGCTCTCCCTCCGCCGCCCATTTCATTAACTGTTGTTCCTTCAGGGCTAAATCCTGTTAAACTTGTTTCCCCCTACAGCCTGGGAGGGGCCGGCTACAGGTTCCTCTCCTCAGGTGTCTACTGTGTCCTTCTCCACCCTCATATAGCTTTTTCTTTATCAACTCTTTACCTTTCTCCATATATCCGCACTTTGGCTTAGGTTAATGTCCAGTAGTACCCCTGGAATGAGGGAGGAGGTAAATATTGGTGACTACCTCCAACAACACTAGGCAGCATGTCCCATTTGAAAAACAAAACTAAAAAACAGCAATGGCTGACTAGGACCTTTATAAGACAAATTAGGCCTCAGGAGTTTTCTGGGGGCCGCAGCTTGCCTCCCTTCCTATCCTCCATCTCCGTGACTTCCACTAGAAGGCAACTCAGAATGTCTGGGGGTGGGAGGCCGGGGCTCATTTAAAAAGTATTTGCAGGCGGGGCCGGCTCTCGCTTGTAATCCCAGCACTTTGGGAGGCCGAGGCAGGCGGATCACTTGAGGTCAGGAGTTCAAGACCAGCCTGGACAACATGGTGAAACCCGTCTCTACTAAAAATACAAAAATTAGCTGGGTGTGGTGGCTCGTGCCTGTAATCCCCAGTGCGTTCTTGCAGTGAGCTGAGATGGTGCCACTGCGCTCCAGCCTAGGTGACAGAACAAGACTCAGTCTCAAAAAAATAAAATTAAAAATATTTGCGTAAACAGTTATTGCAAGTTTTCTGACACTGCTGTCTTTAACCCTTGCTCTCCTTTCACCAGTTGTGCTTCAGCACTGAAGGGTCTAACATCTTGTCCTTAACCTTGTTGCTAAGGATTAGAAGTGAGACTGTGGGATGAAGCCTCTAAGAACTAATGGGATACGTGTGTCTTGACTGAACTACCTCAGGCATGGTCTCTGCAGCTTCCAGAGGCTGCTCAATAGACCTTTGTGCAGGAGGGAAACCTAAAGTGTGCCCTTCTCACTACCAACCCTAGGCCCCCTTCGCACCCCCAGACATCCTGCCTCAGCTCTGGGGTTGACAGGAAGTGAAACTCAATTGTCTGCTTAGTAGACCTGCCTGGGACCCAACCCTAGGCCCCGGATGTGGCCCCCCACCCTGAGGAGGAACGGGGAAGAAAAGACTGGGGAGAGAGGCTGTTGTTTTTTCCTTTCCCTTTGTTCATTGCGGTTTCTTTCTTTCTGATTTTTATGATGTGGTTGGTTAAAGAAATGAGCACCTGGAACCGTAGGCATTAAACGCCTCCTCCTTAGATGTTTCTCGGCTTTTCTTCCCCCACCCACACCCCCTAGTAACTGACTTGGGGTATGATGGAGCATAGATCCTAAAGAAGACACAAAGAAGTCTAGAGTAAGACTGATTCCAACTTATTCCTTACTAGAGAGATAACATTACATCCCACTTTGAAGTACCAAAAACTGTCTTAAAAGGAGTGTCCTCAACTTTATTTAGGGACATATCTAAAGACGATAGAGTGAGAAACACAGGCAATGCACAGGTGGCATCACTTTGAGCATTCTTTGCAAGGAAAGCTGAGTGCCTTAGAGATTAATATCCTTCCAAGAGTTCTTTTTTTTTTTTTTCCAAGAGTTCTAAATAAGAGATCCAGGGACAGAAAACTGATTGGCAGTGGCGTTAGGGAGCCTATTCTTACTTACATTGTATGTTTGTTTAAAGTAGCTCAGAGCAGAGAGGTTTAGACACACTGTACCTCTCTTTGGCATAGTCCTTAAACTGAGCTGTCTTTGCTTGTATTGCAGAACTAAGTGCAGGACTTGGTCTATAGAAGGCCTTCAGATGAGTTTGTTTACTATGACTAAGAAAGTCATGGAGGAAGGAGAGATGAAGTTCTTCTAACAGTGAAGAAAATACTGTACTGTAAAGACAAAGGATGGGAAGCGTCAAGGCCTTGTCTTCACGATTAGGGGTGAGAGGGTGAGACCCGGAGGGGTACAGGAGCAGAGAGACAGACCCGTTTCAACCTATGCCTGAAATCTCCAGTTTAAACAGAACAACAATACTCTCAAATCCTATTACTCAGCAGCTGTATTTCTGGCAAAGGTGGAGGAGTCTGTTCCAACAAGTTTGTCTTGAAACAATCAAGAACTGCTTAGATTCCCCTGTTTCCACTAGAGGGCCTCATATATGCATTCCCTTTTCTCTCCAAGGCCCACCAAAAATATGTATATATTATGTGTATGTATGCATACACAGTACCCACATATGCATATACCCTTCTAGTCAGAGGTCTCCCCTCACCCTCCTTCCCACCCCAGGTGTAAGAAGGACTATTCCAGGAACCTAAGGCTTTGTTACTCTCCCCTATTTCAATGAAGGATAGGAGGGAGATAGGGGTTGGGGGCGGGGCCAGTGAGCAGGATGCCTGGGTCCCCAGTTCCTGCCAGTAAGTCCCCAGGCCTCCATCTCTCTCCCTTGCTGTACCACATTCACCACCATCCATGCGATCCTGAGAGCCTTGATGACTCTAGAAGAGATTCCAGGCAGGAGAAGCTGAAAGGACCTTTCACTCCCTACTTTTGGCCAGGGTCTTCTGTACCACCTGCCAAGGTCAGCAGGTAAAGTGGGAGGATGAGGGCATGGAGAAAGGGTGGACACAGACCAGAGTGCAAACTTCCACCCTAGAATTAAGGAGAGGACATGAGTCTTGACAGGAGGTGTCCTTAGACTGGGGGAAATAGTTCTAAAAGGAAGGAGAGAAATATGGAGGAGAAGGTGGTTAGATTGTCTCAAGCAGAGTGGAGCCCTCAGTAGGAGGGAGGTGTTTGGTCGGGTTGTGGAGTCGGACTCTGGCCTTGCCCCCGTGGGATATCCTGAGCTTGAAGTCAGTAGTGGATGGAAGGGAGTTGGGCAGGGAAGTTCAGGATGGCAGCAATCAGGAGAGAGTGAGAAGTTGGTTGGGTGCCCAACTGCCGAGCTGTTCTGTTAGCGGGCCCGCCCGGTATCTTGGCCTCCCAGGTTTGGGATGAGGGGAGAGGCCGTGAGTGAGTAGAAAGAAGGAAAAATAGATAGACGCAGAGCTGCCCCTGGTGCGGGAAGATGAGGAGCAGCTGATGGAGAAAATGTGTCCAAAGCCCCGGACGTATTCGAGGGAGGGTGGAGCAGGTAATGGTGAAGGGGAAACCTAAAAACGGGTTTCTCCAACTTCGAAGTTCCCACAGTTGGGGGCGCCGGGTGCGGGCGCGGCGGGCAGGCTGGGGTGGGGGGCGGGCAGCTGTGTCGTCAGGAGCGGGGCGGCCCCGCAGCGGCCGCGTCTGCCTGGCCCGTCCCCTCCAGCCCAGCTCGGGCTCCAGCTCCGGCGCCGGCGCTTCAGCTGCCACTGCGAGCCCTCCCAGACAAGGTAGAGACCCCGCGAACCTCCCAGCGCCCCGCTCTCTCCCCCATTGGCACAGGACAGGGGTCGGGGAGCCGAGGACCCACGGGCTGCTTTCGTGCTGCTGGGTCGGGAAGGAGGAAGCGTGACAGCTGGAGCGGGAAGCGAGAAGGGTCTGCTCTGGGACGCGGGGTTGGTGGGGCAGTGGGAGGGCTGGGCCAGAACCTGGTGGGTAACGTTTCCCAGACCTTCTCCTCCATCCCTTCCGCTCACTCGGAGGGATGGTGAAGCCCGGTTCCTGGGGACCCGACTCGGAGGGAAGTCCTTTTCAGAACCTCCACAGCGCCGCACGGGTGGAGAAGGGTTCTTGTTTGGCCTCCGGGTCCCCAACTTCCCACCCCCATCCTCTCCCGACCTGTCACTGGGAACTTTCTGAAAATATCTGAGTCTGAATCTCACTTTTCACCTTTAGATAGGAGAAATGAGCCTTCCTGAGGAAGAAATGCAAATATTATTGTGCATCTCTTCAGCCTCAGCACAGACAAGCCCACATCCCCCAACCATGCCAGTATCGTAACTTCCTCCTGTACTACGCAATGACACCCTCTACACACACACACACACACACACACACACACACACACACGCCCCTCAGACAGGGAACACTTCAGTCTTCAGTGTTTGTGGAGGCTTACTGAGTTTTGAGGCTTCAAGCAAATGATTCCCTCTTGGGGGCTACCTACTAGCAGCAGGCGTCTGGGAGAGGAGGAGAATACAGTCTGTGATGTGACTCAGGCATCCAGAAGTCCAGGTAATCAGGCCTGGGCCCTCAAATTTGGAGCTCCTGCCCCTCGGGGTTTCTTGTTGGGGCAGCTTCAATATTCTAGGGACATAGCTATTTCCTGAGTAATGGTCGACTTACATGACTTGGAATATGAGCAAAATGCTTACGTGAAAAAAGGAAACTTTAAATACTAACACAGACTTGAAAATATTTGTCTCTTGGTTAAAATTTTAGTATTTGATGTTTAAAATTAGATCCAGAGAGCCAGAAGCTCTAAGATTTTGTGGAATGGACTAAGGATGGGTGTCTAGGGTCTGACCGTGCCCCTAAGAGAGTAATTCTCTCACTATGCCCCAGTTTCCTCCTCTGTAAAATACAAGGGTTGGTGACTCCCGGCTCTGTGGATGTTCTAAGGTTCTCTGCCTCCAAGTCAGCTTCTTCCTTTCTCACCCCAAGTGGGTAGGGGAGGGCAGGGAAACCAGAGGAGGGAAGGGAAGGGTGAGTCACAAATAGCTGGCAGGCTGGCAGCAGACCCCACCCTCCCAGCCCTGGCATTCGCCTAGACTAGCCCAGGTTGTAGCCTCAGGGTTGGGATGGACCTGGAGGAAAAAACTGGACTTGTTCCAGGTCTTTGAGGCCCTAGGATCTTGAAGTTTGCTGCCTTTCAGCTCCAGAGATAGCTAAACTTTCAGTCAGAGAAGTCAAGAGAACCACTGAAAAGATCCCAGGAGCACTCATGTCCAAAATTCCAGCCCAGGGGTGTCCTTGAACCCTGAGAGTCTAGTTCTAGCCACCACATCATCCTCCCAGAGGCAAAGTTCAGGATCCTGATACTACATGTTTGCACCTGACAGATATATTAATAACAAGGGGTAACATGTGCAACTGGGCTTCACTGATGCTGGAACTCCCTGAAATTTATGACTTCCTGGCTCAAAGACATCATTTTTTCTAATCTCCAGAAATGTTCCCCTAGGTACTACCCTTGTGTAATAATGTTAATAGCTGATGTTTATTGAGTTCTTACTCTGTGCCATGATGTTTGCTAAGTACATTGCATGTATCATCTTATTTAATGCCCATATTGCAGCTGATTTCTGTAGGTGCCCACTTTACTGATGAGAAAACTGAGGTTCGGGGAGATGAAAGGACCTCTCAAGGAGCTAGGATTGTGATCCTTGCCTGTCCAATTTGCAAGTCCATTCTCTTAACTTTTACTATATAGTACTTCTCCAGGCTTGAGAACTAGAGAGCTAGGGAGGGGCTAGAAAGAGTTGGATCATTGTAAAAAGAGAGGCAGAGAAGAAGCCTGTCCTCTCTCCTTTGCATTGTAACTTGTTCACTCCCTCCCTGTCACTTTCTCCCTCAGATTCCATTTTCTAGAACTTTGGAGTCATCTTAGAATCCCCAGGGGAAATCAGAGAGGCTAATTAAGCTAAAGAGGCCCCATTAACCGTAAGACTATTAGTCTTCATTAGATCTGTTGGCAGCAGAAGTTGGACTATTGTCATTGAAAAGTGCGGGATGGGTACAGTTCTTTCTCTAGGATGTCAGATCCCAGAACCCTCTTCTAAGTGTTCCAAGGAGAGCTGCTGGAACAGGAATGGTGTGCTGCATAAAAGTGGAGAGCAGAGATGTCCCAAGGGCAGAGCCTGCAGAGAAGGTTCTTTTTTTTTTTTTTAAAGACGTGGTTTCACCATGTTGGTCAGGCTGGTCTTGAACTCCCGACCTCAGGTGATCCACCCGCCTTGGCCTCCAAAGTGCTTGGATTACAGGCATGAGCCACCATGCCTGGCCGAGAAGGTCCGTGCACCATCAGAAAGGAAAGGAGTTGGCCTATTCTTGAACACCCAAACTAATTCCCTAACCCAGCAAACCCTAAATGAGTGGGTGGAGATTGGAGTATTTGAGGGGGTACTCAAGAAGTGCTTTTCAGCATCATTAATTCATTTAACAAATATTTATTTAGCACCTACTCTATGTACTACAAATTATCTCCTTACTTTCAGGTGGATACTCTGGCATCCCATTCCCATGTAACCATATTTGGATTAATAGCCCCAAATTATGAATCCTCAGCTTTACGCAATCATTTGTACAACCAATATTGAGCACCCACTACATACTGGGAAGGATGTCCCAGGCAGACAGAACAATAAGTCTCATAGCCCTGAGCAGGGAAGAGCTTGGCATGCCTGAGGAATAGAAAGGAGAGCAGTGAGACCAGATGGCTGGGTGTGAGGAGAGAGTGGAACAAGAGGAGAGTAGAGTGACAGGCAGAGGCACTACCACATGGCCTTGGGCTGGAGGCTTGGATTTTCCATCTATCAACTACCTTAGGAAATCCAAGCTACTCTGAGCGCGTTTCCTTCTCTGTAGATTGGTTATGCCAATAATTTCCTATGTCTCAGGATTTGATTCAAATTAGGATGTTATTCTAAATGTCAGGCATTATACAAGCCACTTTTCATATATTATTTTTTTCTTTTAACTTTGAGCACAAATTTTTCTGATCATATATTATTTTATTTAAGCCACACAACTAAAGGCCGGGCACCGTGGCTCATGCCTGTAATCCCAGCACTTTGGGAGGCTGAGGTGGGTGGATCACAAGGTTAAGAGATCGAGACCATCCTGGTCAACAAGGTGAAACCCCGTCTCTACTAAAAATACAAAAATTAGCTGGGCATGGTGGTGTGTGCTTGTAGTCCCAGCTACTCGGGAGGCTGAGGCAGAAGAATTGCTTGAACCCAGAAGGCAGAGGTTGCGGTGAGCCGAGATGGTGCCATTGCGCTCCAGTCTGGGTAACAACAGCGAAACTCTGTCTCAAAAAAAAAAAAAAAAGCCACACAACTGTGAAAGATGGGTTCTCAGGCCGGGCGTGGTGGCTCACTCCTGTAATCCCAGCACTTTGGGAGCCCGAGGTGGACAGAGCACGAGGTCAGGAGTTGGAGACCAGCCTGGCCAACATAGTGAAACCCCATCTCAACTAAAAAAAAAAATACCCAAAAAAAAAAAAAAGATGGATTCTCATTCTCTCCATTTTACAGATATAACTTCCTGAAGTCACACAGTGGTGTCAGAGCTAAGAATGAAACCCAGATATGACAGATCCTAGCTCTGTTCCAAAACCGTGCTATATTGTGTTAACGTAAGATATATTATTACTGTTCTTGAATCATCAAGGGAAGTCACCCACTGCACCTTGATCCCTGGGCAGGATCCACGAGATGGCTCCTCCTTGGTGCCTGGGTCCAGTAGCCAAAACTTGGGGCTCCCTAAGCACTGCTGACCTATAGGGGTGGAAGAAAGTTCCCAGTAGCCGAGACTCCAGCGCTCGGTTCCACAGTCCTGGACTGGGAAACCACGCGGATACCCAGAGCCTCTTCCCCTGCCTTCTCCCTACTCCGCGCGCCCGGGACCCCGCCCTTCCCCAGTGGAGCTCCGCGGAACGCAGGTCAGGCGGGGCTGGGGCCAGGGACCTTGCCAGAGTGGTTCTGTGTCACGCGTCAGAAGCGCTAGAGGTCGTTGCGGGGCGTGGGTGGCTCGGGGAGTGGGTGGCTGAGACGAGCTGGGGTCCGGCACCAGAGGCGGAACAAGATGGGGTTATGCTCGGGAAGAAGCGCTAACGCAGTAAGAGTCACCCAGAGGGCCTCGACTGCTGAGGACCCGAGATGGGAGAGAGCGCAGGCTGGGGAGAGTCTGCAGAGGCTGACGACGGCGGGAGAAAGTGCAGAAACAGACAAGGGACACACCCACAGAAACATACAGACTGAGAAAGCCGGGTTCGGGTGGGACGGTTAGGTGGTAGGATGAATCAAGATAGGTTGGGGGAAAAGGATTCGGAAGTGGAGAAACAGACAGAGGACAGACACTGTCAGGGAAGGTAGAGGCATAGGGAAGAGGGACACTGGGAAAGGAAGATATTTAGGGAGGGACTCGGAGAGAAGGAAAGAACAAAAATAATAGTGCGAGTAGAAACAGAATGGCGCAGACAGAAAAGACACCCAGACAGCTGGCTTTTCCCACTGTACATTCTGTCACCTTTCCCCAGGCCTACCCTCTGAAAAGGTCCAAGCATCGGAAGTACTACTACCAAGTTGCCTTTCTGGCCATCCTTGAGAAAAACAGACAGATGGCCAAGGAGAGGGGCCTAATAAGCCCCAGTGATTTTGCCCAGCTGCAAAAATACATGGAATGTGAGTCTTCCTGTCAGGCTTTCAGTTCTGGAAACCTTGCCCCAGAGAATCCCTCCTCCCCTTCATTACACCCCCTACCCTCCAGCTTCCTTGGTGGCTTTGAGCAGTGTGCTGCTCAGATTTGCCCATGACTGGAAAGGGGAGGAGAGGGAGATAGGGAGATGCCCAGGGCCTTGGCTCTCTACCCACCCTCTCTATACCTGGACTGCTTGCTCCAGCTCTCAGAGAAGAGGAGTAAAGAGTGGTATTGTTTTGGAGGATCTGAAGTAATTTTCCCTCTGTATTTCTGTGTTCCTTCGTGGAATTTCTTCATCTCACTTGAATCTTTTTTCCTGCTGGATTTCTCTGGCAGGAGAGCTCAGCTGGACTAACAATGCTGTTCTCTTACTCTCTCCATACCCTAGACTCCACCAAAAAGGTCAGTGATGTCCTAAAGCTCTTTGAGGATGGCGAGATGGCTAAATATGTCCAAGGAGATGTGAGTAGCAGCTGGGAGATCCTCTCCCTGACCAACTCTTCCCATCTTTGTTTTTGATCCCCAACTTCCAGGAGTGATTCCGGGCCTGTCCCTCACTTTCCCCTCTAGAGATACCCAAGCATCCATTGTCACTGCGACTATTGCTTTAGGACAAAATGAAAGATTCTCTTAACTCAGGACTTAGTCAGAGAAACCATACTCCCGCCTCAGATGCTTCCCAGCTCTTCACTTTTTATCTCTGTCCCCACTACTCCCAGTTCTTCAGTCCCAGCTCCCACCTTGAAGACTCCCCAGGGTAATGCTCACTCTCATTATAGGCCATTGGGTATGAGGGATTCCAACAATTCCTGAAAATCTATCTGGAAGTGGATGACGTTCCCAGTCATCTAAGCCTGGCACTGTTTCAATCCTTTGAGACTGGTCACTGCTTAAATGAGACAAATGTGACAAAAGGTATGATTAAGCAGGTAGCAGTGGGCTAAGCCTCTAGAAGAAAAACCAAACTAGTATGGATTTGGGGATGAGAGTTGACTGAGTCACATGTTGTGCAGGTTGGGGGAAATTGGTGGAGAATAGTCAGGCTGGTCTAGGAGTTAAAGGGAGGAAAGTTAACGGGGAAAGATAGGCCAAGGGCAGTGGCTCACACTGGTAGTCCCAGCACTTTGGGAGGCTGAGGGGGGAGGATTGCTTGAGGCCAGGAGTTCAAGACCAGCCTAGTCACCAAAGTGAGACCCTATCTCTACAAAAAAAAAAAAAAAAAAGGAAAAATTAGACGGGCATGGTGGCATACACCTGTAGGCTCCAGCTACTCAGGAGGCTGAAATGGGAGGATTGCTTGAAGTGCACCTTGGAAGTTCAAGGTGCAGTGACCAGTAATCACACCACTACACTCCAGCCTCAGTGACAGAGTGTGACCCTGTCTCTTAAAAAAATCAGTGAAGAATTTTTTTAAAAAGGGAGAGGTGGAACAAACAAAGGCTAAAAGATGAGCCAAAGTGGAGAGAACCCTGATCTCAGATCTACTTTTTTGTAACCAGACGTGGTGTGCCTCAGTGATGTCTCCTGCTACTTTTCTCTTCTGGAGGGTGGTCGGCCAGAAGACAAGTTAGAATGTGAGTTGCCCTTCTGGAGTGAGCTGGTGGGACAGTGAAGGGAGAGAGAGGTGTTTCCCAGCCTCCTTTTCCTCATTCCTTCAGGATTCCTAAAGGCTAACAGGGCTAGACAAAGGTGGGGCCAGAGAATGAGCCCATTTCCTCTGTTCTCCCAGACTATTTATACCTAATACCCTTCACCATAGCCACCCCAGTTCTCATGTCTTGGACATTCCCATGTAGGTGGCCTAGGATGTCCTTGGGATATGGATCGTGTACTGTCTCCCCTGACACATTCACTGACGGTGGAATCCATGCCTGTTTTCCCTCCCTTTTTGTCTCTTTCTCAGTCCCATCCCAGGCTCTAGGCTTCTCACCCAAAAGCTCTCTCCCTGTCTCTTTGTTTCCCCTATATTCTGGTATGAATTCTTTCAGTATCTCTTTCACAAACTGACCCTAGCCCCCTAAAACACCCCACAGTCACCTTCAAGCTGTACGACACGGACAGAAATGGGATCCTGGACAGCTCAGTGAGTTGGGGACCCTGTATGCTGGGCAAGGGAATATGTGTTCATTTGTCTGCACCCTCCCGCCCCAACTCTTCCAGGGTCTTAAGAAGCAGAAGAGGATGGGGAGAGAGGTTGAGTCCTCTAGGACTAAATTTGAAAGTGAGTCCCAAGCTCTTGATCCCTCAAAGAGAATGCTGGAGACATGAACTGGGGACTGCCTTACAAACATACCAACACATTATTTACTTGGCAGTCGTACCTGAGACTGAGAGGTGTAAATCTGGGGTGGAACCCAGGAACACTGATTTCTGGAAAAGAGTTTGGGTGGTGATAGTAAGGGGGATATGGCTGTGGCTCTTGCCCTTTTTGCTCCAGGAAGTGGAAAAAATTATCCTACAGATGATGCGAGTGGCTGAATACCTAGATTGGGATGTGTCTGAACTGAGGCCGGTAAGCAGCTCTTCCTTCATGTCCCTTCTTGTGTCTTCTTCCTTGGTGAGTCCTGCATCTGCCTTACATCATCTCTGACAGACAACCTGGTTGCCTTGGCTAGGACGGCTGGGCTGGGTATCCTAAGAGGCAGAGAGGTGCTCGGTCTGAAGACCCATTTATACCGAAAGTTCCTTTCCACTCTGTGCTCAGATTCTTCAGGAGATGATGAAACAGATTGACTATGATGGCAGTGGCTCTGTCTCTCAAGCTGAGTGGGTCCGGGCTGGGGCCACCACCGTGCCACTGCTTGTGCTGCTGGGCCTGGAAATGGTGAGTAGGAGAGACTTTGGAGGATAAGATAGCTGCCTTGGGTTGTGCTTGCCAGGGATGGCCCTGTAAGGGCTGTGACACTCCCTAGCATTTGCTGTGCCTTCCTAGACTCTGAAGGACGATGGACAGCACATGTGGAGGCCCAAGAGGTTCCCCAGACCAGTGTACTGCAATCTGTGCGAGTCCAGCATTGGTCTTGGCAAACAGGGGCTGAGCTGTAACCGTGAGTAATGCGATGTGGGAGATGGAGGAAGAGGGTCAGCCCAGCAGTCTGTGGGAGCTCTGCACTCCGAACTTAGAAAGACCTAGGTTTGAATCCTGGAATCTGCCAGTGACTAGTTATGTGACTTTGGGAAAGCCACATAATTTCTTTAAGCCCTAGTTTCCTCAACTGAAAATGAGGTAGTTGTGAGCATTGAAAAAGCTGATGCTCCTGATGTGATATAGCTGGCCTAGAATTAGAACCAGTACAATGCCATTTTAAAATGGGAAAACTGTTTCCAGTCTCCTCACAGACTGCTAGCCATGGCTTCTGTAAACTACTAAGATTACTGCAAAATGCAAAGAGAGGAAAAGCTGCATACTTTCTCTTATCTGTAACTGCCAGAATTGCTGGCCTTTGTTTACCAAAGTAAGCACCCCCAGATAATTCCATCCTGGCGCCAAGCAACTGAAAAATCTGTGGACCCCACACCTGTCCAAATAATGTATAAACTAATGTTTATCTTAACTTCTGCAAACCTCTTAAATGACAATCAGAATGTCAAACAGTCCACTGGCCCTTGGAATGTCTGGAGCCCCCCTCACCCTCGTCTCAGCCTAGGAGGTGATTGACAGCTTTCATTCCTATCTCTGCTCCTCACCCCCACTCCCAAGGTGGTTTTGCGGGAATAAAAAGGTCTTGTCACTCTTCTTTCTCTGCCACGGGTTGGAGAGACGTGAGTCCTCCATGGTCGCCGGCAATAAACCCTGCAATTTGGCGTACTTTTGTTCTGGTGTTGACTATCTGTGTTCAGTTTGATGCAACACTGAGATGTTTAATCAGAAAAAAAAAAAAAAAAAGCTGATGCAAGAAAATGCTTCAGATGGTGCATGCACATACTGTAAGATGCAATAAGAAATTATCTATTATGATTACTGTTGCTGTTAGACCTGGGCCTCCCATGTATCACCCAGCTCAGTTTGTGCCTGGCACATGGATGATGTGGGGCAGGCATGGGGTAGCAGCTGCTCTTTTAGGAGGAAGAGTAAGGAAAAGGTGTGGGTTTTGGAGGTGGGCCCCTCACCCCAAACTTTAATTCTCTATTACACCCTCCAGCAAGAGATCATATCTGATCCTGCCTCACCCCCAGGTAAAGAGGAAATAGTGGGAGGGGCTGCAGCTAAGCCTTCCAACTTCTTCCTTCTCCCTCAGTCTGTAAGTACACTGTTCACGACCAGTGTGCCATGAAAGCTCTGCCTTGTGAAGTCAGCACCTATGCCAAGTCTCGGAAGGACATTGGTGTGAGTGACCTCAAGCCCCCACATTACCTCCGTCCTGGCCATGGCCCTGGCCCTTGACCCATCGCTGCCCTCAGCTCCTCCATCCCCTAGGTCCTGCTCAGACCCTCCCAGACAAGGGACTGCCTTTCTCCCCAAGGTCCAATCACATGTGTGGGTGCGAGGAGGATGTGCGTCCGGGCGCTGCGACCGCTGTCAGAAAAAGATCCGAATCTACCACAGTCTAACCGGGGTGCACTGTGTATGGTGCCACCTAGAGGTCAGTTTGGGAGCCATCCCTCCTGGCTACATCTTAGGGTCCTGCAGAGCTGTGCTCTCCGCGGGCCTCCCAGCCTTCCTTCCCTTACAGCCACCGTTGCCCCTGCTCCCAAGGGCTCTTTCCAGCCCAGACTGCCAGACTGAGAGGAGGCAGGGTCCCCTTCGTGATCTCTCTGTGCCTACCTTGTCTTTCAGATCCACGATGACTGCCTGCAAGCGGTGAGCCAGGAGTGTGACTGTGGGCTTCTCCGGGATCACATCCTGCCTCCATCTTCCATCTATCCCAGTGTCCTGGTGAGACCCTTGGCAGCAGCGGGGAGGGGACAAGAGTGCCTCCCCGATTTCCCACACGCACAGAATGGCATTTAGAATAGAGAACTCATACTTTTAGGATTCAAGTCAGACCCCTCTATTTAGGGAGTCATGCACAATCCAGCTTTCCTTCCCTCTGCTTTCCTCCCCTCTCAGGCCACTGGATCGGATCGTAAAAACAGCAAAACAAGCCAGAAGACCATGGATGATTTGAGCACCTCTGAGGCTCTGCGGGTACAGGGCTGAGAGTCTTGGGCTTCACAGTGGGGGGTGGTTTTTCACTGGAGCCCTCATAAGTGGGAATGAAATGGGAGAGCCTGGTGGGGTGCGGTTGATGCTCACTGTCCAGAAACTCCACTGTGGTAGGGAGGGAAGGGGAGGGAAACAGGAGGGAGGGGGGAGTATCTTGGTGGAATGGCAGCCCTCTGCCCCTGTCTCCAGGGCCCACCTTAACTCTGACAAAATTCTGCTTTCTTTATCCTTACTTTCTTCCCCCAATGCAGATTGACCCTGTTCCTAACACCCACCCACTTCTTGTCTTTGTCAATCCTAAGAGTGGCGGGAAGCAGGGGCAGAGGTGAGAAGAGATATATTGGGCCTTCTAAGATGAGAGGGGAGGGCCTGCCTGCAGCACTTGGAAGGTGGAAGGGGATGTGTGTGTCTGGAGGGGCATACCTTGAGGAAAACATCAAGAGGGTGAGGTTCAGAAAATCACCCTCCCTTGCCCCTGCCATGAGCTTTCCTTTTTCCCACACACAGGGTGCTCTGGAAGTTCCAGTATATACTAAACCCTCGACAGGTGTTCAACCTCCTAAAGGATGGTCCTGAGATAGGGTGAGCACAGGTTAGGGGCTGTGCTCCTAACACACAGTGTTTTCGTGGGTCTGTGTATCTGTATATGTTAAAAGAGTGCAGGTTGGGAGAGGAGGGTTAGAGGTCCCCAAGAGGCCAGAATTCAGAATGTTTCTTTCCCTAGGGTCACTGGGTATCCCAGCCTCCAAGCTCTCTGGCCCATCTTTGTCCTGCTCTCAAAGAATGAAGATACCAGCCAGGCGCATTGGCTCACGCCTGTAATCCCAGCACTTTGGGAGGCTGAGGCGGGTGGTTCACTTGAGGTCAGGAGTTCAAGATCAGCCTGACCAACATAGAGAAACCCTGTCTCTACTAAAAATCCAAAAAAATTAGCCGGGTGTGGCGATGTGTCCCTGTAATCCCAGCTACTCCTCAGGAGGCTGAGACATGACAATTGCTTAAACTGTTAGGCAGAGGTTGCATTGAGCTAAGATTATGCCACTATACTCCAGCCTGGGTGACAGAGCAAGACTCTGTCTCAAAAAAAAAAAAGGATGAAGATACCAATTTTTCCCTAACCACTGAGGAGTGGCTATAACTTTCCCTGTTGTTCTTTTCTCTGCCCTTCATAGAAACTCAAGTCTTTTGACAAAGTGGGAGAGGGTCCTAAGGAATGAGAGACAAGAAGCAATCTGCCTGCCCAGGAGTTGGGTAGCCTCAGTCCTGTTATTCTTCTTCATCTTCTTTCTCCCCTTTGTCTCAGGCTCCGATTGTTCAAGGATGTTCCTGATAGCCGGATTTTGGTGTGTGGTGGAGACGGCACAGTAGGCTGGATTCTAGAGACCATTGGTCAGTGCAGGGAGGGGCTCTGGGAAGGGACTGGGGTCGTAGTCTTGCAGAGCTAATTCTTTCCATCCTTCTCTTCACCGGCCTCCAAAGACAAAGCTAACTTGCCAGTTTTGCCTCCTGTTGCTGTGTTGCCCTTGGGTACTGGCAATGATCTGGCTCGATGCCTAAGATGGGGAGGAGGTAAGTGGTTAGAAATTGTTTTGCTGTGGGCTTGGGGAAGTTGTATAGGAAGGGAAAGGCACTTAGAGAAGAATCTAGGCATCTGGTGTAGAAAGAGGACTGGGGAAGAAGAGGGGCACAGACAGGTGGTTACAAAAGTGGAATGTCCAAAAAGAAGAGAGCTTTGGAAGAATCAGGGACCACAATCTGAACCTAGAAGGGTCAAGGGTGGTAGTCCCCTTCCCTGTGAATATTTTTATGCTTCTCCCAACCAACTATATCGCTCAGAGAATCAAGGAATATGGGGGTGGGGATCAATGTGAGAATAAGGAAGGTTGTATAAGAGCTAAGCTAGATGCCGAGTGATGGAGCTAGCCCGGAGCTTGGTCATGACTCATTCACTCTTTCAATTAACCAGGTAGTCATTAATTAATTCACTATCACTTATTTTCAAGTATTGCAATAGTCTCCTAACTGCTCTCCCACTTCTCATCTCTTACTTCTTTCAAAGAGAAAGAGTTTGAGGGATGGTATTGGTAGATAAAGAGGTCAGTGTAGGGCAGATTGTGTTTGAGGAGTCTTGGAGTTGAAGTTATTGGGTTCTAAGTCCAGCTCTAAGATCCTGCTGGAGATCTTAGGGAATAGAGGTCTGCTAAGGGGAGCAGAGGGCATTCTAGGTGGAGGAGATAGTGTAAGGCCAGAGGAGCCACCTAACATGGTGGTGCACTGGGAGAACCGTAAGTCATTTGTCATGATTGGGACATAGGGTGCAAGGTGGGAAATACGGAGAGGGAAGACTAGCTGAGCAGAGTCCAGGTTATGGAGGGTTATGAATACTGTGCTGGGGAGTTTTTAATTTTATCCTACCAGAGATTGCAAGCTGCCAGCCCACAGTAATTATTTTGTGTTGTTTTGTATTGTTTGCCTTGCATTGTTTTCAATTTCTTTGTACTTGATTATTTCCTTTTTTTTTTTTTCTTTTTTTTTGAGACAGAGTCTTGCTCTGTTGCCCAGGCTGGAGTGCACTGGTGCGATCTTGGCTCACGGCAACCTCTGCCTCCTAGGTTCAAGTGATTCTCCTGCCTTAGCCTCCCGAGTAGCTGGGATTACAGGTGCCTGCCACCACACCCAGCTATTTTTTGTATTTTTAGTAGAGACGGGGTTTCATCATGTTGGCCAGGCTGGTCTTGAACTCCTGACCTCAGGTGATCCGCCTGCCTTGGCCTCCCAAAGTGCTGGGATTGCAGGTGTGAGCCACCGCGCCAGCCTCAGAGTGGCATTTATTGAGATTGGGAATACAGGAGGAAGACTAGTTTAAGGAAGAAAGATTCCATTTGGGGCAGGTGGAGATGTTGTGGTGGGTAGTTAGAAATACATGTCAGGAATTTAGGAGAGAAGTCACATATTTTAGGAGATACATGTTTGAGAGTCATCTGCTCCTAGGTGGTAATTGAGATTCTGAGAGTAACTAAGATTACTCAGGGTAAGATGTAAGAGAAGGTGAACAAGGACAGCAAGATCTTGGTAAACACCCTATTTCAGTTGAGCAGAGAAAGAGGAGTTATTAAAGAAGTCTGCATTAGTGTTCTGTGGCTGCTGTCACCAATTACCACAAATAGTGGCTTAAAGCAACACAAATTTATTGTCTGATAGTTCGGGATGAGAGAAGTCCAAAATGGGTCTCACTAGACTAAAAGCAAGGTGTTGGCAGGGCTGAGTTCTTTTCTAGAGGCTCTAGGGAAGAATCCCTTGCCTTTTCTGGTTTCTACAGGCTGTCTGCATTCCTTGGCTCAAGGTCCCCCTTCCAACCAGCGGTGTGTTATCACTCCAACCCCTGCTTCCATGGTCACATCTCCTTTTACAACTCTTTTCTGCTGCCTTCCTCTTTTATTTATAAGGACCCCTGTGATTACATTGGTACCACCCAGATAATCCAGTGTGATCTCACACCTCAAAATCCTCCCTTTTTTTTAAGACAGAGTCTCCCTCTCTTGCCCAGGTGTAGTGCAGTGGCTTGATCTCAGCTTATTGCAACCTTCACCTCCCTGATTCAAGCGATTCTCATGTCTCAGACTCCCAGGTAGCTGGGATCACAAGCCTGCACCAACACTCCTGGCTAATTTTTGTAGTTTTAGCAGAGACAGTTTTCACCATGTTGCCCATGTTGGTCTTGGATTCCTGACCTCAAGTGAACCACCCGCCTGGGCCTCCCAAAGTGCTGAGATTACAGCACTATCACTTATAAGGACCCCTGTGATTACATTGATACCACCTAGATAATCCAGTATGATCTCCCATCTCAAAATCCTCATTTTATTTTTTAAAGACAGAGTCTCCCTGTGTTGCCCAGATTGGAGTGCAGTGGCCCGATCATGGCTCATTGCAACCTCTACCTCCCTGGTTCAAGCAAGTCTCATGTCTCAGCCTCCCAGGTAGCTGGGATCACAAGCATGCATCAACATGCCTGGCTAATTTTTGTAGTTTTAGCAGAGATGAGTTTCATCATGTTGCCCATGCTGGTTTTGGGACTCCTGACCTCAAGTGAACCGCCCACCTTGGCCTCCCAAAGTGCTGGGATTATAGGCATGAGCCACCATCCCTGGCCCAAAATCCTCGATTTAATTGTATCTGCAAAGTCTCTTTTTCCATTTAAGGTAAAAACATGTTCACAGTTTTTTTTTTTTTCTTTTCTTCTCTTTTTTTCTTTTTGTTTTTGTTTTGTTGTTGTTGTTGTTGTTTTGTTTTTGAGACGGAGTTTCGCTCTTGTTACCCAGGCTCTTGTTATCTCGGCTCACTGCAATCTCCGCCTCCTGGGTTCAGGCAATTCTCCTGCCTCAGCCTCCTGAGTAGCTGGGATTACAGGCACGCGCCACCATGCCCAGCTAATTTTTTGTATTTTTAGTAGAGACGGGGTTTCACCATGTTGACCAGGATGGTCTCGATCTCTTGACCTCGTGATCCACCTGCCTCGGCCTCGCAAAGTGCTGGGATTACAGGCGTGAGCCACCGCGCCCGGCCTGTTTTGTTTTTTGAAATGGAGTTTTGCTCTTGTTGCCCAGGCTGGAGTGCAATGGCATGGACTGGGCTCATTACAATCTCCACCTCCCAGATTCAAGCAATTCTTCTGCCTTAGCCTCTCAAGTAGCTGGGATTATAGTCATGTGTCACCACACCCGGCTAATTTTGTTGTTGTTATTTTTTGAGATGGAGTCTCGCTCCATCGCGCAGGCTGGAGCGCAGTGGTGCAATCTCAGCTCACTGCAACCTCTGCCTCTTGGGTTCAAGTGATTCTCCTGCCTCAGCCTCCCGAGTAGCTGGGATTACAGGTGTGCACTACCACAACTGGCTAATTTTTGAATTTTTAGTAGAGATGCGTTTCACCCTGTTGGCCAGGCTGGTCTCAAACTCCTGACCTCAAGTGATCCACCTGCCTCGGCCTCCCAAAGTGTTGGGATTATAGTTGTGAGCCACTGCACCCAGCAATTTTCAGTTTCTTGAGACTAAGATGTGGACATCTTTGGGAAGCTAGTATTCTGCCTACCACAAAGACTAAAAAGGAATACTCACAGAGGTCCTCTGTAACGGAGTGATATTTCAGAAGTTAAGTGAAGGCTTTCAAGAGTTAAAATGAGAACGAAAGATACACAGTTGGCAGGAGTCACTGGCAATCTTTGCCAAAAATGTTTCAGCAGGGTGGGATGGGTAAAAGGCAAATTACAGTGAATTGAACCCTCAATGGAATGTGAGGAATTGGAGACATTTTTTTTTGAGACAGAGTTTTGCTCTTGCTACCCAGGCTGGAGTGCAATGGCGCGATCTCGGCTCATAACAACCTCTGCCTCCCGCGTTCAAGTGATTCTCCTCCCTCAGCTTCCCAAGTAGCTGAGATTACAGGCATGTGCCACCACGCCCGGCTAATTTTGTATTTTTAATAGAGATGGAGTTTCTCCATGTTGGTCAGGCTGGTCTTGAACTCCCAACCTCAGGTGATCCACCCACCTCAGGGTGCCGAGCCAAAGTGCTAGTATTATAGACATGAGACACTGCACCCAGCTGTGGAAATATTTTAAAAATCCTTTTTCTCCCCAACTACAAATGTAATACATGCTGGTAGTAAAAAAATAACTCAAACACTTCATATATATGTGCCAAGAAAGTAAAAGCTTCCTATAATCTATGCCCTACAGTTTTCAGGGCTGTTCCTCCATGTTTTACTTTTGAGATTTTTTTCTTTTTCTTTTCTTTTTTTTTTTTTTTTTTTTCTTGAGACAGAGTCTCACTCTGTCACCCAGGCTGGAGTGCAGTGGCACGATCTTGGCTCACTGGGCTCACTGCCACCTCCACCTCCCGGGTTCAAGTGATTCTCCTGCCTCGGCATCCTGAGTAGCTGGGACTACAGGCACGTGCCACCACACCAGGCTAATTTTTTCGTATTTTAGTAGAGATGAGGTTTCACCATATTGGCCAAGATGATCTCGATCTCTTGACCTCATGATCAGTCTGCCTCAGCCTCCCAAAGTGCTGGGATTACAGGCATGAGCCACTACGCCCAGCCAACATTCAATTTTTTAATTTTACAACCCATGCTGCAGTGAACACTCATACATCTACCTCTGCACACAAATATGAACATTTCTCTAGGAGAAAATTCTAAAATAAAGTTGCTGACTCGGAGAATCTGAACATTTTTTTTAAGTTTATTTTTTATTTTTTGAGACGGAGTTTTGCTTTTGTTGCCTAGGCTGGAGTGCAATAGCACAATCTCAGCTCACTGAAACCTCTGTCTTCTTGTGCCTTAGCCTACTGAGTAGCTGGGACTACAGGTGTGCGGCACCACACCTGGCAAATTTTTTGTATTTTTAGTAGAGATGAATTTTTACCATGTTGGCCGGATTAATCTCAAACTCCTGACCTCAGGTGATTCTCCCACGTTGGCCTCCCAAAGTGCTGGGATTACAGGCGTGAGCCACCACACCCAGCATGAATATTTTACTATTAATACTTATTTTCTTTTTTAAAAAATTACACAAATAGCCGAACACAGTGGTTCACACCTGTAATCCTAGCACTTTGGGAGGCCAAGGCTGGAAGATCGCTTGAGCCCAGGAGTTTGAGACTAGCCTGGGCTACACAGTGAGACTTCATCTCTATGAAAAATAAAGTAATTAGCCAGGCATGGTAGCACATGCTTGTGGTTCCAGATACTCAGGAAGCTGAGGCAGGAGGATAGCTTGAGCCTGGCAGGTTGAGGCTGCAGTGAGCCAGTGCACTCCAGCTCAGGCAAGAGAGCAAGACCCTTCTCAAAAAAAAATTACACAAATAAATCATCAGTACATTGTAATTGTAAAAGATTTAAAGACTTAATATAACATAAGTCTTCACATACAGGACTCTTCTTTCCTGTCCCCCACCAAATTCCATGTACCTTCTCAGAGATAAACACTGTTTCCTATTTACACTCATTTTTCTGTTTTTACATGCATGCACACATACACATATGCATACACACACGCTTTTTTTTTTTTTTTTTTTTTTAGACAAAGTCTCACTCTATCACCCAGACTGGAGTACAGTGATGTAATCTCGGCTGGGTTCAAGAGATTCTCCTGCCTTCGCCTCTTGAGTAGCTGGGATTACACGTGCTTGCCACCATGCCCAGCTAATTTTTGTATTTTTAATAGGGACAGGGTTTCACCATGTTTGCCAGGCTACTCTGGAACTCCTGACCTTAGGTTATCTGCCCACCTTGGCCTCCCAAAGTGCTTGGGTTATAGGTGTGAGCCACTGCTCCCAGCAAAAAATATGTTATGATAAAATTTTGATAAAAATTGTCAGCCGGGCGCAGTGGCTCAAGCCTGTAATCCCAGCACTTTGGGAGGCCGAGGCGGGTGGATCACAAGGTCAAGAGATCGAGACCATCCTGGTCAACTTGGTGAAACCCCATCTCTACGAAAAATACAAAAAATTCGCTGGGCATGGTGGTGCGTGCCTGTAATCCCAGCTACTCAGGAAGCTGAGGCAGGAGAATTGCCTGAACCCAGGCAGAGGTTGTGGTGAGCCATCATGCCATTGCACTCCGGTCTGGGTAACAAGAGCGAAACTCAGTCTCAAAAAACAAACAAAAAAAAAAAATTGCCAAAATGCGGCCAGGCGTGGTGGCTCACGCCTATAATCCCAGCACTTTGGGAGGCCAAGGCGGGTGGATCACGAGGTCAAGAGATCGAGACCATCCTGGTCAACAAGGTGAAACCCCATCTCTACTAAAAATACAAAAATTAGCTGGGCATGGTGGCGCATGCCTGTGGTCCCAGCTACCCGGGAGGCTGAGGCAGGAGAATTGCTTGAACCCAGGAGGCAAAGGTTGCAGTGAGCTGAGATCGTGCCATTGCACTCCAGTCTGGGTAACAACAGTGAAACTCTGTCTCAAAAAAAAAAAATGCCAAAATGCTTTCCAAAAATGAGTTGTCAAGTTATGCTGCAGCTAACAGCAAATGAAAATGCCAGTTATTCATAAACTCATTAACACTTAATTTTCCCAATCTCTTTATACTTTGCCAACCTGATAGACAACAAAAGTTAGCTAATTTTTTTTTTTTTTTGAGACAGAGTTTCCCTCTTGTTACCCAGGCTGGAGTGCAATGGCGCGATCTCGGCTCACCACAGCCTCTGCCTCCTGGGTTCAAGCAATTCTCTCACCTCAGCCTCCTGAGTAGCTGGGATTACAGGCATGCGCCACCATGCCCAGCTAATTTTTTTTTGTATTTCTAGTAGAGACGGGGTTTCACCATGTTGACCAGGATGGTCTCGATCTCTTGACCTCATGATCCACCCGCCTCGGCCTCCCAAAGTGCTGGGATTACAGGCTTGAGCCACCGTGCCCGGCCAGCTAATTGTTTTAATTATGGTTCTTGAAATTTTTAGTAATAATGAGCACCTTTCCTATACATATTGGCCATTTGTATTTTTCCTTCTATGGTAGACTTGTTTGTATTATTTGCCCATTTTTCCTTTTTTGTTTTTTGTTTCTTTCTTTGTTTTGAGATAGAATCTTGCTCTGTTGCCCATGCTGGAGTACAGTGGTGAGATCACAGCTCACCGCAGCCTCAAACTCCCAGGCTCATGCAATCCTCCACCTCAGAGTAGCTGGGACTACCGCCACATGCCACCACACTTGGCTAAGGCTTTTTTTTTTTTTTTTTTTGAGACAGAGTTTCACTCTTGTTCCCCAGGCTGGAGTGCCGCGGTACGATTTTGGCTCACTGCAACCTCTGCCTCTTGGGTTCAAGCAATTCTCCTGCCTCAGCCTCCCAAGTAGCTGGGATTACAGGTGTCTGCCACCACACCCAGCTAATTTTTATATTTTTAGTAGAGATGGGGTTTCACCATGTTGACCAGGCTGGTCTCAAACTGCTGACCCTATGATCTGCCCACTCACTGCAACTCAGCATTTTCAGCCTCCCAAAGTGCTAGGATTACACGGAGCACTGTAAGCCACCGTGCCTGGCCTACACTTGGCTAATTTTTACATTTTTTGTAAATATTAGGTTTTGCCATATTTTCCAGGCTGGTCTGGAATGCCTGGCCTCAAGTGATCACCCACCTCAGCCTCCCAAAGTGCTGGTATTACAGGAGTGAGCCACTGCGCCTGGCCTTGTTTGATTTTTGAGATTGGGTCTCACTATGTTGGCCAGTCTAGTCTTGAACTCCTGGGTTCAAGCAATCCTCCTGCCATGTAGCTGGGATTATAGGCACTACCATGTCTGTCTAGTTTTAAATTTTAATATATTTGGCGGGCGCAGTGGCTCACGCCTATAATCCCAGCACTTTGGGAGGCTGAGGCAGGTGGATCACGAGGTCAAGAGATCGAGAGGTGAAACCCTGTCTCTACTAAAAATACAAAAATTAGCTGGGCATGGTGGCACGTGCCTGTAATCCCAGCTACTCGGGAGGGTGAGGCAGGAGAATTGCTTGAACCCAGAAGGCGGAGGTTGCGGTGAGCCGAGATCGCGCCATTGCACTCCAGTCTGGGTAACAACAGTGAAACTCCGTCTCAAAAAAAAAAAAAAATATATATATATATATGTAATTATATTTATCTATCTTTTTTCTTTTGGGCTTCTAGTTTTGTATCCATTCAAAGATTATAAAAACATGTATTAATGTTTTCTTCTAGTACAAATTCTGGCCAGGCACAGTGGCTCACACCTGTAATCCCAGTACTTTGGGAGGCCAAGGCAGGCAGAGCACCCATCTCTACAAAAAAATACAAAAGTTAGCTGGGTGTGGTGGTGTGGGCCTGTGGTCTCAGCTACTCAAGAGGGTAAGGTGGGAGAATCCCTTGAGCCCAGGAGGTCAAGGCTGCAGGGACCATGGTCACAACACTGCGCTCCAGCCTGGGCAACAGACTGAGATTGTGTCTCAAAACAAAACAAAACAAAACAAATTCTGCTTCATTTTTTTACATTTAAATTATTTGATCCATTTGAATTCATTTTAGTATAAGGAGTGACTTCTACATTTAGCACTATTTGTTTTTCTAATTTTGGATTCAGGGGATATATGTGCCGGTTTGTTACATGGGTATATTGTGTGATGCTGAGGTTTGGGTTATGGATGATCACGTCATGCAGGTAGTGAGCGTGGAACCCAGTAGGTATGTTTTCATGCTGCTCCTCCCTTCCCCCCAGCACCATTTATTGAATAATCTTTCTTTTTCCCATTTATTTGAAATGATATCATAGACTAAATTTCCACATATACTTGAGTCTATTTGGGCACTCTATTCTTTTTTATTTTTTGACGGAGTCTCACTCTATCGCCAGGCTGGAGTGCAGTGGTGTGATCTCGGCTCACTGCAACCTCTGCCTCCTGGATTCAAGTGATTCTCCTGCCTCAACCTCCCAAGTAACTGGGACTACAGGTGCACACCAGCATGCCCAGCTAATTTTTGTATTTTTAGTAGAGATGGGATTTCACCATGTCAGCCAGGATGGTCTGGATCTCTTGACCTCATGATCCACCCACCTCAGCCTCTCGAAGTGCTGGGATTACAGACGTGAGCCACCCTGCTGGGCCACACTCTATTCTTTATTATCAAACCTTTTATTCCATTCACTCTGCCAGTATAACACTGTTTAGACATGATTGCTTTATACTGTGGTCTGTCTGAATGGGGAGTGAAGCATCAGGTGTCAAGGGTGAGAGAGGATTACCCCATTTGTCACCCTCTTTTTATCATTCTCCTGGCTATTCTCTTCAACCTTCCAGATGACTTTTGGAATCATCTTTGCATGTGCACACACATTGGAAACATTCACCCTCCACACAGTGTGGAGGAAAGGTCCATGGGAGCTGTGACCATGCACCCTGCCCTGTCACTGGCAAGGGCTGAGAGGCTCTGCAGAAACAGGGTAGAAGGTACCCGGAAATTTGTGGAGCTGGGAGCTGAGAAGAGGCCTTTCTGGGACCCAGAGCTCAGTGCTAATCTGTCTTCTCCACTCCTAGGGTATGAAGGACAGAATCTGGCAAAGATCCTCAAGGATTTAGAGATGAGTAAGGTGGTACATATGGATCGATGGTCCGTGGAGGTGATACCCCAACAAACTGAAGAAAAGAGTGACCCGGTCCCCTTTCAAATAATCAATAACTACTTCTCCATTGGTGTGGTCAGTGGAATGGGGCCTGGGGAGAAGGGAGAAAGTAGGGGCCAAGCAGGCAGTGGCTGGAGGAGAGCAGAAAGGGAAGGGGGGGGTTAAGTGACCTGTGACACAGGGAAATCCAGAGCACAGTACAGTGGTGTGAGTTGCAAGAGAAGATCTTGGGACATGCCAGCAGGGAGCAGCATAGGGACTTGGGAGAGAGGGGAAATGGGGAGGGCGAGAGCGAGTTCTGGACTGAGAGGGACGGGAGGCCCCTGACCTTCATGTCCTGAACTCTCCAGGATGCCTCTATTGCTCATCGATTCCACATCATGCGAGAGAAATATCCTGAGAAGTTCAACAGCAGGTGAGGGAAAGGAGAGGGGGCTGTGGGCATACACAGTGTCAGGAGCCAGGTTGTGACCAAGTTTGACTCAGATTGCTTAGAAGAGCAGTGACACCAGTAGGATATCCCCCAACCAAAGCTACCCTTATTCCCCATGGGACTGAAGTTAGGAGGTTGATGCCCTTCCCTGTCACCACCCTTGCCAGCACTGTGTAACCTGTCCCTCCCTACTGGGCCTTGTGTTGGGGCTGGCACAGAATGAAGAACAAGCTATGGTACTTCGAATTTGCCACATCTGAATCCATCTTCTCAACATGCAAAAAGCTGGAGGAGTCTTTGACAGTTGAGGTTTGTATAGTAAGACTCAACCTTACATCCTTTTCACTATTCTTTTTTAAACTTTTTGAACTTTTTATTTCAGGTATGTCTCAGTACATTTTTATTTTATTTCACACTTAGTAGTGTGAAACCTTTTCACTTGTTAATAACCAAGTTTGTCCTTCCATGGCACCCTTAGGAACATCCCATTTTCTTTCACCTATACTTCTTTGACCTCCCAGCTCTCCCACTCCAGTTCTCCAAATCCTCAAGATACACTAGTCTCTATTTCCATCCCTTGAACACCTCCAAATCCTGCCCTCCCCAGTTTGTCATCTGGTGGAGGAAGTGGTCACATCTATGATTGTGCCATGAGGTAAGGATCTGTGCCCTCCCCAACTTCGACTGTGCCTCCCTCCCCTTAGATCTGTGGGAAACCACTGGATCTTAGCAACCTGTCCCTAGAAGGCATCGCAGTGCTGAATATCCCTAGCATGCATGGTGGCTCCAACCTCTGGGGAGATACCAAGAGACCCCATGGGGATATCTGTGGAATCAACCAGGCCTTAGGTGTTACAGCTAAAGTCATCACTGACCCTGATATTCTGAAAACCTGTGTACCAGGTGAGAGGAGCAGCCTTGGGAGCTGAGTGGGCAGGACCAAGGGAAGGTGTGACTCCCTTTGGGGATACCATGTTTATGTAAAATTTATCTCCCTACTTCATCCCTAGACCTAAGTGACAAGCGACTGGAAGTAGTGGGGCTGGAGGGCGCAATTGAGATGGGCCAGATCTATACCAAGCTCAAAAATGCTGGACGTCGGCTAGCCAAATGCTCTGAGATCACCTTCCAGTAAGGAAGACTCCACCAGGGTCCCTGAGGGAAGATGTGGGGCCTGGACAGCAGAAGGGTCATGGGAATGGTCGGGAGGGGCTTTACTAGATCTCCCGCAGTGACAAAAGGTCTCTAAGCCAATCTGAGAAGCAGAGTTTTGGTATTCGATTGGTAAAGAAATCACCAATGTTCCTTGGCCTCCCATAGCACCACAAAAACCCTTCCCATGCAAATTGACGGAGAACCATGGATGCAGACACCCTGTACAGTGAGTATTGTTTATGTCAGCCAAAAGCTGAACCCCTCCCATGGGCTCCATGGATCCTAAATCCCCATTCCACAGCTTCTTTACACCCTTCTGATGCTTGAACTTCCCCTGCACATCATTCATCCTAAACTCTGATTTCTCAGCCCCTGGCTTCCCTGTCGTGGCCTCTCTGGGAACCTAGCAATTCACCCCAAACACCACAGATTACCCTCCAAATCTCTGAAGCTGCAGCCCCAAAGCACCAGGTCCTGCCTCTGAATGTGCTCCCTTCCCTTCCAGATCAAGATCACCCACAAGAACCAGATGCCCATGCTCATGGGCCCACCCCCCCGCTCCACCAATTTCTTTGGCTTCTTGAGCTAAGGGGGACACCCTTGGCCTCCAAACCAGCCTTGAACCCACCTCCCTCTCCCTGGACTGGATTCCCGAAGCTTTGTACATTGCTGCCACACACTCCTGCCAGCTCGGGGAAGTGTTCCTTCACCCTCACAGTATTTATTATCCTGCACCACCACACTGTTCCTCATGCGCACACATGTACACACACCCCAAAACACATACATTGAAAGTGCCTCATCTGAATAAAATGACTTGTGTTTTTCCATTGGAATCTGCTAAGTAAGTACACTTCCTTCTTTTATACCTTCACTCCTTAAATGACATAGATTCTCCCAAGAAGCAAGAAAAAAAAAACCAGCATCAGGTTCTGAGTATTTATTTCAGGTGATAATAGTCTCCCAGGGAAGATGGGGGGGAAATATAGGTGTTTCTGTCAACCCCAGGAAAATCATGGCATCATACAGGAGTACTCAGACCTGCTGTCCACTGAGGAGTGGGCTGTTCTCACCAATGGGACAAGTGCGGAAGATGTGGGGTAGACGCAGCCAGTGAGTGCTGCTATGTGACAGCTGGGGAACAGAGAAGGCTGACCCTTGCTTCATAAGTCTGCGCCTGATATTGGGAGAAGGGGTAAACCTGTTAGCAATGGACAAAGGTAGCCTGTCTGTGCTTCTCCAAAGAAGGAAACACACCCATATCCCAGTCTGATTAGCCTTGATCCTAGCTCCTTCCCCTTCTCCTCACCTCCAGGGTTTACCCTCTCTTATTTCTGTAGTAACCTCTGTCCATTCCTCCCTCACCCCATAAGCTTTCCTGGCTGAGGACTATGCTACCCCAGGCCTAGGGGATCTGCTCATCTTGCTGGTAGAAAACTCAGTTCACCCAAACCGCCCCCATTCTCAATATTATTAACAACAGTCATTAATGTCAATTACTACACTCTTGCTTCAGAGTCAGGTGTTTTACTCACATTGTTTCTAATCTTTATAACAGCCCCATAGAGGTTAATCTTTATAACAGCAAGTGTTAGTTTACCTACTTTTCAGAGGCTTAGACAGGTTAAGCTACTTCCCCCAGGTCCCACAAGCAAGACAGCAGCCCAAGTCTGTCTAACTTACAAGCCTGGGCTCTTTCGTGGACACCATGCTTCCTCAAAGGGAGAGGTGGTTCCTTCTCCCCTTGAGGAAGAGTGAATGGTGATAACAAGGGATAAGGGGGTCTGAAACTGTGTGGTGAGGCCCTTACCTATATATCAGAGATGCAAGGACCACAGCCATCAACACCAGCAAGATGCCCACGAACAGGGGAGCCTGCCCAAGGCCTGCTTCTTGACCTGTGAGCAGAATCCCAGGCACTGCTTCAGTCAGTGTCTGCTCCTTGCCAACTGGCCTCTACCCACTCCCTTCCTCATCTTAGCTCTTGTCCAAGGACCTACCAGGCATGACAAGCTGGGTGCTGACCACTGCCAGGCTGTTGGCATCAGCCAGAGACACATTGAGGCAGTATGTCCCCGAGCCACCATTCAGTATCTGGTGCAAAACCAGCTGGCAAGCTGGACTGGGTGGCACAGGCTGGCACAGCCGCTGGGCAGGGGGATGGCACCCTGGCGATGAGATCTCCATGCAGGCTTCCTTGGGCAGCCTGAAAGAGGTGTCAGGATATATAAGGAGATCTGGGAAGGGACAATGAATGCCAGAGAGCAGAGAAAGAAACAGTCAACCCAGCCGGGCATGGTGGCTCACGCCTGTAATCCCAGCTCTTTGGAGGCCGAGGTGGGTGGATTACCTGAGGTCAGTTCAAGACCAGTCTGACCAACATGGTGAAATCCTGTCTCAAATTAAAAAAAAAAAGAAAAAGAAAAAAGAAAAGAAACAGTCAACCCAAGAGTTATCAGTGCAACTAGTGGGACACTCACCCGCCTTGGCAGGACACAGTCAGCTCAAATGCATCCCCATCACTGGATGGCACAGCCTGCAGGATCTCAGCATTTTCAATACCCTCTGCAAAGTTGTTGCAAGAGTATCAAGTTAGGATTCCTCTACCAGGTCTCCTCAAAAGCTCATAGACAGGAAAGCCCCAGGGCTGCTCCACCCATCCCATCCCTGTGCCTTCAAATGAGGATTCTGGCATTTGGGTATTCTTCCTATCAAGGTGAGTAATTCTTCCCAAGGTATGCTTCCACTGACCAGCCCTAGGCAGCACACAGCTGCCTCCATCAGCCCCCAAAGTAGGCAAGACTCACGGACAATGTCCAGGGTGACGGAAAATGAACCATATCGATACAGAACACAATCCAGGGGGACCTGTCTCTTCACCAGCCTTAAGGTGGCTGTACCATCCAGCAGGGGACTGAGGGAACCTGGCAGGAGAGGATTGAGGAGGCAAGATCAAGAGACAGATGACTCATCTGGAGGCAGAGGCCAACCAGGCACTTTGTCAGGTTGAACCAGAGTTACTGCATTCTGGAGTCACTGGCTTGGAATCAGATAAGATCAGAATTTCATTCTATAGATAAGGAAATTGAGGCCCAGAAGAAGAAAATGACTCCTCCAGAGTCACACAGTTAGGTGATGTTGGAGTTTTAAAAAATCTTCAAATGTTTGTCACGCTCCACACTATGCCAGGTACTAGGCTAGGCATTCAACGTATGTTAACTCATTTAAGCATCACTATTTCATTCCTCCCTTTTTGCTTTGGGATGGGAATCCAGGGGTGGGAAATGGAAGGATCAGGATCTCAGAATCTGGGAAGGATTTCCGTGCATTTATGCTTGAACAGAAAATGAGCTATAAATATTATGTAAATGATCACGTTCTGTTCCCTGGCCTCACCAACCATTCTCAGCAGTAGAGAATCAATAAGCTCTTCCCTCATGGCCTAGGGGAAGACCTTGGTTTCCTGAACTCCAGATCTATTCTGTGTTATTAAGAGATACTAAAGGTCTTCAGGCCAGGTGTGGTGGCTCACACCTGCAATCCCAGCACTTTGGGAGGCCAAGGTGGGTGGATCACTTGAGGTCAGGAGTTTGAGACCAGTCTGGCCAACATGGCAAAACCCCATCTCTACTTAAAAAAAAAAAAAGAAAAGAACAAAGAGATACTGGAGGGCTTTACAGCCAGGCCAGTGAGAGCTCTGAGGGGACTATGGTGCTAAGCAAAGGACTGGGTAACATCTGAGTCCTGGGTGAGACTTTCAGAGTACAGTAGGGTACCCCACATCCATGAACTTCATTTGCACTGGTCCTCTTACCTGTAATAGCTTCTGTAGGCATGATTGAGCTGGCATCTGGACCCTCAGGCTCAGGGGTAGGTAGCTCTCCAGCTGTGGTCTCTACCAACTCTGTAGTTGTTACCTGTGCAGCTGTGGTTCCAGAAGGCTCTACAATTGACTCCTCTGCAGGTGTCATACCTGTAGCCTCTGGAGTTGACATCTCTGCCAGTGTGGTACCCATGACCTCTGAAACTGGCACCTTCTCAGGTGTTGTACCTGTGCTTTCTGCAGTTGGCACCTGCACAGGTGCAGTGCTTATGACTTCATTGGTTGGCACCTGCACAGCTGTGGTTCCAGAGGGCTCTGCAGTTGGCACCTGACCAGGTGTAGTACCCATCACTTCTGTAGTAGGCACTTGGCCAGCTGTAGTGTTAGGGGCTTCTGCAGTTGGCCTGTACCCATCTGTGGTGCCTGGAACTGGGGAGGAGCCACAGGAGGTGAGAGGAATGGCAGCCTGCAGGACCACCTGGGCAGTGACTGAGCCAGGCTCCAGGTAAGTGTGGGTGACCACAAGTGCCCGAGAGATCAGGGTTCCACTACTGTCTCCAAAGTCCCAAGTGTAGGAGAGGTCAGCTTCAGCCAGATAGCCACTGGGGTCATGGAGCTGGAGGGCAAATGTCAGAGGCTGATTTCTCAAGAAGTGCTTGTTCTCTCCATCCAAGGCCTGCAGCTGGGACACACTCACAGAGAAAGGCACCTGGTCTGGGATTGGAGCCAGAAAAGGTGAGAACCAGGCCCGAGCCACAGCTTCCCCTCCAACCCCAAGCTGACTGGCTGGCCCTTCACTGGTGCTAAGCCTCATATTTCTCTGCCTGGGTCTTCCTAGCCCTGCCCCTTTAAGTTTGCACACTAGTTCACCTTTCCCCTTTCCAGTTTATTCAAGCCTTCCTGCCTTCTCTTGCCCTACAACTGGTCTTGCCCCTTCCTAAACCCTTACCAGTAATGGTGAAGGCCAGGCTGGAATGAGCAAGAGGTACATAGCTCCGGGATCCCCGGCGATGGTAGACAGTCACTTCCATGGTGTGTGTGCCCAGCATTGCCCTGCCTGTCCCAATGCTCAGCCCAGACACTGGGCCCCCTAGAACTTGCCAGTATTGGCCTGAAGTTTTTGGAATGAAAAGCAAGGAAGAGAACATTATTCCTCAAAGGGAACTGAGGGACAGGCTTAGAAACAGGGCACTGGAGATGGGAGGTCAGAAGGTATGATTACTTCTGAGGGTGTTTAGAAGGTGGTGATATGCGGGGACAGGGAAGGGGTCTTAATGGGGCATTCCTTGGGGTAGGACCACAATTGAGGAAGAGGATTCCTCTACTAGGCTTCTGGCACATTTCATAATGCCAGAAAGAATTATGATAGAGTTGAAGGGGGCTAGGCGCTATGGAAGAGAAAGGATTCCAGAGGAAAATGAAGATTAGAGAAAATCACAGAAGTTAAGGGGGAAGGGGCAGCTAAAATAAAGGTGATCAGGGAGAAAGAAATGAACACAAGTGTAGATGACAGGCCAAGAAGGGAGTTCCTCACCCCAGGTCTTCCAGACATAAACAAAGCTTCTCTTCTGAGACCAAGGGCCAGATGGGCAAGGTCCACCATCAGGGAAGATGCAGGCATCGTCAGGTTCCTGGGGATACACTGGCTGTCCTCCCCACACCTGGCTCCCTGAAAGGTAAATACAGAGTCACTCTTAAATCCCGGCATTCTTTTTTATGTACTAAAACCACTTAAGTTGCTCCCAGGGTATCAGAGAGGGACTCTGGGAGTATTCCATAGCTAGAAAATACATTCTTTTTTTTTTTTTTTTTTGAGACGGAGTTTTGCTCTTGTTACCCAGGCTGGAGTGCAATGGCGCGATCTTGGCTCACTGCAACCTCCGCCTCCTGGGTTCAGGCAATTCTCCTGCCTCAGCCTCCTGAGTAGCTGGGATTACAGGCACACGCCACCATGCCCAGCTAATTTTTTGTATTTTTGGTAGAGACGGGGTTTCACCATGTTGACCAGGATGGTCTTGATC